AAAGAAACTCCTGCTGGGTTTCCTGCTTGAGAAGAAAATCCAGGCTTTACATTCAGCACCATGCACATGTCCCCTGTTGTCTATAAAAGCTTATTGGTGGAGAAAACAGACCTGTTGAACCACTGGATCAGTTGTTTGATTTTGATACTATCTTCATTGTCAGACACGAAGCAGCCATTCTCAAAACCTGCATAGGTAGAAGAGGCATGAGAAGTTCTTAGTATTTACAGGCAGAAGTGTATCTACCTAGAATTTTAAAGATATCTTCTTGTCTGATAAATATTCTCTGCAAGGGAGGTTTCTAATATGCCTGAAAAAGAGCTTTGGGTTGTAGCAGTAGCTCAAGAAATGGCTCTGGTGCCCAGACTACCAAAATAGAGCTGCCTGCTCCTTTGACTTGGTTGCTATTATTGTCACATAACAGTGGCCAGAATCTAAAGAGAAAATAATTATGCCAGAAGTAAGCTGTGCTTCTATGAATGGATAAAGCAAAGCTAAACCCAGGCTTGTTCGTAAGGTGCGATTCTGCTGGAAAGCTGCTGAAATATGAAATTACTCATAGCTCTTCACTAATCCCAGGTTGTACTTCCAAGGAAGCACAGCTAAGAACATAACAGGTTATTGAGCTGTTATGGACAACATAACATCTGACTGTGAAAGTTGCTAACCTTGCCTCTGGCATGGCCAACTACCAGCAGCAATAGCCGCTCTCCTCACTGTCCTTCATAAAGACAAGACAGATGTGGTGAATACCATAAGGACAATTCAAAAACACCTAAAAATGTCAAGTAACACATTATGTTTCACCTGCATTTCATTAAAAAGCCTTTATGAAGTGACAGCCATTTCAAACAGAAGATTATATTTGAAAAGCAGCACTAATATATTTGAAGGCCTCGTTCTTTTTGGACTGCAGCAGGCTATTATATTATCCTCTTAAAGCATTTTAATGTAAATTTGAAGTTTTCAGTGAGAATAATAACAGCTAATGTCTGATTGTTTCTCACCATATGTTTTAGAAGTTTTAATGCATTTACATTGAGAAATTTTTTATTATCTGTCTGCACATATTTTCATTTATCTGTCAATACTGAAAGTGCTTGTGGAAACTTTCTCTTAATTTTCATATGAGAAGAAGATCCAGAAATCAATTATATTGTAGAGCAAAAGATACCTTCAGTTTCCAAGCTTACCTTTTCACCTCTACTTTTATGTACTTAAAATTTCTTAGAACAAATTGGGCTACTCTGCATTTACATTCTGTAAGATTTTGAGCCTACAAAGATTTCAGCGTAGCTGAGGTCAGTATGATATCACACATGCTTCAAAGAAAGGGCAGATGTAGTACTTAGTGACGTGGGTTAGTGGGCAATGTTGTTTGTAGATGGACAGTTGGACTAGAAGACCTCAGAGTGTCTTTTCCAAGCTCAATGATTCTATGACTCAAGCTTGCATAAGTACTCAAACCCTAAGTGCAGGGAAATATTCTCAGTAAGATCACTTAATTCTAATTTAAAAGGGCTGGACAAGGATTGCTGTCTGTATACACAACACCCATCCCTCCAAATATTACCAAAAAGCTAGGCAAAAGCATTTTGGATGAACAAAGAGCTCCTGGACAAACTCAGACATGAAAAGGAAGCCTACAGAAGATGGAAAGTAAGGATGTGTAACCTGGGAGGAATAAAGAGACATTTCTGAGAAGCCAGAAATTAAATTAGGAAAGCTAAAGCCCCAACAGAACTGAATCTGGCTAGTAAGCCAAGTACAACAAAAAAGGCTTCTATGTCAGTGATAAAAGGGATAGAAGGGAGACTAGGGAAAATGCAGGCCCTCTCCAGAAATACATGGGAGACCTGCTTACCCAGGGCACTGAAAAGACTGAAGTAGTCAATGACTTTTCTGCCTCAATCTCCAGCAGCATGTGCTGTAGTCACATCACCCAAGCCACAGAAGGCAAAGGCAGGGACTGTGGGAACGAAGAACTACTCATGGTAGGCATCAGAGGAACATGAAGATGCTCAAGACCATGGGACCTGATGAGATGCATCTGAAGGTCCTGAGGGAACTAGTGGGTCAAGCTTGGTAAGGCACTGTCCATCATATTTGAGCAGTTGTAACAGTTTGGTGAAGTTCCTCTGACTGGAAAAGGGAAAATATAATTCCCACTTCTGTAAAGGGAAAACAGGAAGACCTGGGGAACCACAGGTCAGTCAGTCTCGTCTCTGTGCCAAGATCATGGAGCTAAGCTAAGGCACATGGAAAACAGAGAGGTGAGTGGGGACAGACAACATGAATTAAGGGCAAATTATGCCTGGCAAATTTGGTGGCCTTCTATGACAGGGTTATAACATTGGTGCATAAGGGAAGAGTAATGATGTCATCTACCTGGGCTTGTGCAAAGCATTTGATCATAAACATCGGCATCATTATCAAAAAGAAGTTTGTGATTCCAAAGTACCACTGAATTTTAAATATGGAATTCAATCAGGAGATATTCTCTTGCATCTCCATCAGTGTTTATGTCTTACCAACCATAAATCTGCTGAGCTTCAATATATGCACATTGTCTTCGATTTCATTATTTGTAGACAATGCGTCATATTAGTCAAGTCATCAAAATACAGAAGGCAATCTTCCTATTAGTTCAAGTAACTATCTTTGATCATACAGCGTATTTTGTAGCATTTGTTCCTACAACTTATTTCATTTTATTTGCATACTTACCTAGAACGGTCTTGAAATCTTTCAAAGAGATTTCTTTTTCTGTTATGGATTCTGATGTTTTCAATTTAAATATTATCAGTCATTCTAAAGTAATAATACAAACTGTCTGCTGCAGGATTACACTTGGGACATTGAGCTAGTAAGACACAGAAGACTCACCATCTGCAGATTTAACATTGAGAGAGCAAAACCTGCAAATTTTATTCTGTACATTGAAAATGCCTAACTCTTAACAGCAACCAAATGCTCACTTAGAAACGTTAGGATTTTGACGGGGTAAAGATTACCTTAACACACTTTTGCACACAATTGCAGTGTTCCTGAAGCATGCTCAGTCATACGTAAGATGAGATGGAACAAGCAGCTCAATTTCAGGCAATTATTTAAATGCTCTAAATTACTGCAGCTCTGAAAAACAGCATCATCGAAAAGACCCTACTGCAAAGAGCACAAAACTGTATTTTCTTACATAAGAAAGTTCAACTTGTCATACTGCATAATCATTTAAAAATATTTTAATGCCTGCTTAAACAAAACATATTCAGTATTACTTTACCTTCAAGTTTCCCCTCAATGTTCTGTTATTATAGTGTTAACTTATCAGGACAGACACTGCTTTATTTTATATAACTGTGCACATACCTCTGGGGCTTAAATATAGACTTGCTGAAATTACTCTTCTACAGTTGCCGCTTAAGTCACATCTCTTTTTCTTTCAACACTTGCACAGTCTATTCCCAGAAGTATTTCCTGATGGGGATCATGATTTTAGGCAGTTTTCCTTCTAGCTCATCATCTCTTCCAGAATACTGCACTACTTTATGTCAAGGCTAAGGAAATACTGCCAGACATCAGCACTGCCAAAATGGTATAATCTAACCTGGAAAAAAATTACTAAAAAAAAAAAAAATGAAGACAAATGTATGTATTTAAATATATATTGATACATAAACAAAACGAATAGCATGAATCATAGAATCAAAAAAGATAGGAAAAGACCTCCAAGACCATCCTGACCAACCTTAACCCCACCAATGTTGCCCACAAATCCATGGCCCTCACTGCCATATTCATATGGTTCTTGAACACCTCCAGGGACACACTGAGTAACTCAAAACCTGAGGATATAGACACAACAAAATGATGCCAAATGTGTCTTAAGTTAATTGATAACTGCTTTATAATGACACCGTTAAAATAGTTTGGACTATTCCATAGTTAAATCATTTAAAGTGCACCAGTTGAATGTTGATGAACTCCCACCTATGAATATTCTGCTTTTAGGGAAAGTGCTACATATTAGTATTAATGCATGAATTAACAATCGAGTCTGCCTAATGCAAAGTAAAGAGAAAACATGGTGGGTTTTTTTTTTTTTTTTTTTTTTTTTGTTTTTTTTTCCCTTCCAGAAGACAACTCATCATATATTGTTTTTATTGATTCATTCCATAAACAGTCACTCTTGGGCATTACACTTTTATATCCCCTATTTATTTCAGTACCTTTCCCATCTCAATAACTTTAAATTTTGACTACTTGATGGTCTATATCTTTCCCACTTCGTGGTTCTAGTGGAAGAGAAAGGACATCAGCCCTTTCCAGGTTCCTGCTTGGGATATGAGTGAAAGATTGAATCCATGTGCTCTTAGCACAAAGTTCATCATATCTATATAAGCTCCAGAAAAAGTCTCTTCATAATGTGGGAATCAAGTGTTGTTTCTGCATTGTATAATATTATTTTTATTTTATGATCTCCGCTATCATAGTTCCCAGGAACACACTCTGTATATGTGTGTATATATGTACATTTTGTCACACACACTGCAAGAATATCCTGCACGAGAGCAAACCAGAGAACAAGTCATGGCATGCCCGAGGAAGCGCCTGACATTGGGAAGGCCTGACATCATCCCCCAGTGCTCTTTGTTTAACGATGATGACTTTAAAGAAAATCACCATATCAATAGGACAAGGAGAGCACCGAGACATCTTGGAGACAACAGGATGACTACCGACTGGCACCAGATAACAAATAAATTAACAAGTAAATAACAAATGTAAACCTTCTGATAAGATTGTGAACCTGGAGTACCCAGCCATTGGGGAATCAGGGGAGGGGGGAGGCAAGGGGGAGAAAACAGGGTATAAAGGCTGTCATGTTGTGTCCATAGGCGCGCTTCTACTTGTGGGACGCCCGCCATTGCAATCGCGAATAAATTCTGCTTTTATCAGAGATACCGTCCTGACAAAATTACTTGGTTTATTTCCAACAATAAGACAAGGACTAATTAAAAAGTTACGAGAATAATTCTAACTAGAGGATACATTTTCAAGAAAAGGGGGAAAAAAAATTCTCATGTGATGAATAAATAATTCTTTCTCATCAGCAAACACAATACAAGCATCACCAGTAATGGAAGTCATAAAAAGAAAAGGTGTAGTGTGACAGGGTTTTGTTTACTCACTTGATATATGGACAGAATTCCATCATTCACTCCATATTCAGCATAGATTTGGTGCATCCACTCTCATCTTACTAAAGAACAACCTAGTAACTATTATTTTCTATTGCTGAAAATCACAGTTCAGAATCCTACAAGGCAGTAGACAAACATCACTTTAAAGCTCATTTTTCTCCAGATTAAAATTCCAGGCTCCTTCACAGAATAAAAGTTTAAAAAAAATACTAGAGCACGTCTTTGATGCTGTTATCAGCAGGTACTCTAGCATGTTTATAGTGTTGTGGATTTTTTGCTTCATCAAGCATTTAAGGAAGAGAAGATACACATTGATAAAGTGCGCTTCAGAGGGTTCTTTAATTCTTTTCACATGCACAACCACCTGCATTCAGACTGATTTGCTCCTGTTCGCCTTGCTTCTTCCAGCATTGATTTTCCAGTGCAGAAGGAATTTCTTCATTCTAGAAGCAACGGAAGTGGTTATTTATGCATGCAAAGTTTGCAGACCGTCACAACTGCTGCCACAACAGCTCATTAACAGCACTTAACACTGTTGGGAGACAGATGCAAACATAAGCAGCCATTTTCTGCCTTCTAAACATTGCCTCCTCACCTCTTCAAATACCTTGATAGCTGAAGCCTATTGTTCTTGCAAAAGGCAAAGCACGCTAAGTAGAAGTAAGCGTTAGCTTCTATTAACCCAAGTACTAATATGCCATACTAAAATACCATAACTGCAGAGGTAATTTTCTACACCATAAACATCATTCTGTCATTGCCAGTAATGAGGCAGAACATTTAAGCTAACTGTGCCTGATACAGCAGTGGCAGAAGAGGCAGAACGTGTTCACTATGGTTCTAGCTTCCATGGGTGGACAGCTTTTAAATCTTATCAGTCTTCCAGACATTCCTATTGTACCACCCTTAATTCTCCAGTTAATAATATATGTAATGAAATAAGGTCATGATTATTTGGTCTGTTTTTGAACCTGAAATGTGCTCTGACAAAACTAAAACGCATTTTCAAAAAAGGAGTGAGATACGTGATGCTTTCATTGCAATGATTGATGCACTTGCAAAAACTTGCATGCGCAAACTTCACACGAGACACACGGTTAAAGAACCAAAACTGAGTAGCTTTCAGTAATGTTGCTTAGATGAAAGCCAAAAATAAATCAGAAACAAGTAACTGTCATTAAAAGGGAATAATATTGAAACAAACACTTAAGAAGTGGATTTTTAATACCAGTTTCTGCAGGCAGATAAACTTCAATTACCATGTTTTCACCGGTTTCCAAAACAGATCAGAGGAATGTGAAAACTTCACAAGTAAATGTTTTCTTCTATTTTACACTATATGCTCTGCTCGAATACATTCTATATAAAGTGAACGGTATCTGCTATCTCATATATTCTATGTAATGTGAAAGGTAGGGAATGAAAGAATTAACTTGCCTTTTAAAATTTATCGCATATATAGAAAATACCTGAGATATTCTTACTTTTTCTAAGGTTAAATAAGTAAGGAAAAAACAAAAAATAACAAAAAGCAAGAGAATTTTTGGTTTATTCCATATTTTGAATACTCTTTAAATTATTGAAAATGCCAATGCAGGACTTAACACATATTAAGCTGGCATTTTAACATACAAAGATAAGTAACATTATTAATGTAACTGGTTAACTTCAATTATTCTTTTCTTATTCTCTTACCTGAAATTGGAAAATAAATTCAAGTTGAGTAACCTGTAATACAGATGTCTTTCACGCAGCCATTGTGGTACTGGTGTGGCCTCCATTTCTCCTAATTTCTGGTTTACATGAAACTAGGGTGGAAAGAGAAAAAGAAAAATGAAATGATACACATCTGCTTGTTAAAATAATTCAGTGTTTTCTGAATCTTCGTTATCAAATACATAGGACAGAAGCACTGATGACCTTGGCGGTGGGAACATAAACAATACTGAATAAGTTGAAAAGAGAATAAAAGCCTTTTGGAAATATTTCCAATACAGCACGGGCAGCTGTATTTATCTGAAGGTTGCTGAACATGCTGCCATTTGTCAGCAAACTCCCCAAAAAACTTTCGTTAACCTTTCTCATATCTTTCAGGTAGAAAAACAGGATCTTAAAGTAATAACATGCTAAGCAATCAGATTGTCATTCTCCAGAGAGAATGTTCACTCCTGTACAAAGGGATATAAAATTTCAAAATCATAAATTAGTTTATTTCCTTTTCCAGTTGTGGACTAGTGTCTGGCTGGCACAAATGCAGTAAACTGGCAATAGACAGATGCCCTTATATAGGAATTTTCATTATCATCATTATGCAGTATATATCTTCATTATAGGAACATAACAAAGGGAAAATTGGGCACTAAGTGCTAAATAATTGTTTAGAATGAATCATTCTCTGGTTTAGCCAAAGCAAGCAATAGATCTTTTATTTCAAGACTTTGGAACAAATAGCTTTGCATTTAAATCAACATCATATTTCAAATTTATGTACTATAGCAGGCATTCCAAAGGCAAAGAAAGAAGTTTGCAGCCTTGTTTTCCCAGACAGATTGCCAACATTTACGCCCTTCTTCCAATCCAGTTTTATAAAAGCTCAGTACCTCCACTGGTAGCAAATACATCTCCCCCATTTTGACTCAAGTAATCGCATCTGTTTCTAAGCTGTGCCTGTAATTGTCTGACATTCAAATAACGTATCATCTAAAAGTTTAACTTTAGCAGCCAGCAACAATCCAATTATGTACATTATGCAAATTATGCAATTATCACTTCTTCCATGCAAGGTTGGTGTCATACTTGTTCTAAACTTCACTGATGCTTAGGAGAACAAGGGATTGAAAACTGAGAAAGAAATCCAGTTTGCCTCTCTACAAAAACTGATGAAACCTCATGCAATGTGGTGATCGCATTCTTAAAGGGTATTATTTTTAGTGTTTCTTTTACGCATATCAGTAGTCTGCACTCCTGGTGAGATGAATTAACTCTCTGATCTGACTGAAAATTAACATGGCAAACAAAATGAATATACATATGAAGTATTTTACTTCCTTTTCAGTTACATGATTGAGATTATCCAATATAGTCACCAAGAAATCATCAATGCCAGTGCAATGGAGAGGGCAGCTTAGAGCCAGGCTAACTGAAGGCTTATATAGGTTTACACCAACCATGGAAGTTCATTCTGTGCAGAGAATACACTTCAGTATTTCGTTTCTTTGTTTTGGTGGTTATGGTTTGTTGATTATTTATGGAAACGTTGACAAAACTAAAAAAAAAAACAATCAGTACATCACAGAGAAGTTGGCTATTCACAACACAAAGTATAAAAGAAAAATGAGTAAAAGGATGAGCAATGTTAAGCCCAAAGCCAGCAGAAGGCTCATCTTTAGGAGGGACTGGCAAGCTATTCAATGAAGAAGGCAACATAACTGGGATTTGGTAATAAATGAGAAGCGAAATGTTCTTCCTATGGAACTCTCCTGTTTATTTTTGTACAATACGCTACCTTAGACACGAATGATGCTGTAATAGTCCAATATTCTTTGCTGTGCATAGCTGTATTTGTAGAGATAGCCTGTAAATTGTATGGGTTGTAGGGAACTTGAAGATTGTTTTTGCATTTTTGAAGACAATATATATATTCACCACTATCTCTTGGCAATAAAGGTCTCTGTCAAAAGATAAAATTTATAAGTACATACATAATTTATTTTTTCATGATGACAAGCTGTACGTCTCTAGATTATACCATGAGAAGAAAAAGTGCTCGATTCTTCTAATAATAAATAACACAGAATTGACCAGAAAGCTATTCTATTATCATCAGTTTTTGAATTCTATTATTTATACTCACAATAATTATTTCTCAGTTCTTCCAACTAGAAGCTAAATATTACTTTTTCTTGTTGAGAAAACAGTCTCATGGGATCCTATTAGCATACTACAAATTTTTAAATCCAAACTTAATGAAACTTTTCTGTAATTTTATTACTTCACGTTATCTTTCTCCATCGATAAACACAGCATATGTGTTCGTCTTTGAATGCACCAAATAAGAGAACACAGGAGGTGCCTGTTTGGCCACAGGAAGAGCGGAAGGCCCAGTCTCACTCATAGGCCTGATGCTTGGCGTGCCTGATGCTTGGTGTGCCTGATTAGGACAGGCATGGCCACAATTCTACTTAATGCTACGAGATCTAAGCCATGGGAAGCACTGGCTAAGTGCTAAGTTCCCATAACCACTATGCATCCAGAGGATGTAAGGCTCTAAGGCAAAATGTATTGTTTTCAGAGGGGAAAATCTTCCAGGAGATGTGTCTTTTAGATATATAACCAATGTCATTTCTGGAACATGCAGTTCCATACAATGTGGAGAAGGGGAAGCAAAAATTACCGTAAGTGCGAACTTCTGAAGCCTGGCCACATCAGCCTCTCTAGCTAAATGCTCACAGGACGGTAACTTTGTTTGCCAGCCAAGTTTGCCACGAAGCCTCAAAATGCACATTATAATGTCATCATCAGTTGGCTCTGGTACATCAAGAAAAGCGAAGAAAAATAGTAATTTCTTTCTCCCTTACATATAAAGCCTTTTGATTCAATGCATATAATAAGTATGGAGCATCAGAGTAATGACATTCAAAATAAGGTGAAAGATGCTGAAAACACGTCTCAGAAAGTCTCTCTCTCAAAAAAATAACAAGTTGTTATATATTCCAAATGTATTTTTCTGTAATTGAAGAACGGCAGTTCAATTGACTTCAAAGCAATTTCATTTTCCAGTGATTTTACACTAATATTTGGTGTATTTTACACAGCAAAATTCAAAGTACTCACTAAAAAAAAAAAAAAAAAAAAACTTAAATCTACCCCCCAAATTTTTTTAATAAATAAAAAAAAAAAAAAATTTAGAAAAAAAAAAAAAAAAAGAAGAAAAAAAAGAAAAAAAAAAGAATCCAATTGTGGTACCAGTCCCTCCCTCACAGTTTTCAGAATCAGCAACAGAGATTATTAATAGAGAAGTAATGTTCCAAATCTATTTTTCTTCATGAAGATCTTGGAAGATAAGGAGGAAAACACACCTATTACTCTTTAATAATATTTTATTTAAAATAATTTTTTAAATGTAGCTAAATATCAATTATAAATAACTTGAAGTATTAAAGTACTGTACAGAAACAACTCACAGTACAAAAAATGTGGTGAATATGGAAGATGAAGTTGTCAGACTTTCCCCTGCACACGTACTTTTACTTTTACTTTTAGGGCAGAAGGATGAGGAAAGGGAGTAGCAGTTGCATCTATTCTTTATTATATCAATGGAAACCTGACAGAAATGGACACACAACTATGAGCACAGTCATCCCCATGGGGCTACAAGGGCTACAACCTGCATACCTGTTTCATCATATGAATAAACTTTTGCTCTTATAGGCTTCTTCAGAGAACATTCAACATCTGGCTGCTCACAAACCTTTTTAAGGCAACTTGGCTCCAAAACAGACTTCAGTATTTCAGTCCTTCTATCTGCAAACAACACATTAAAAAGGAAAATATTACGCATTGAAAGCAGATCACTATGCACAATAATTATTTAATTCAAGTTATGCTTGCTACAAATTTACATTTCTACAACTTCTACTACTGCTCAAAATACACAATGGTCTTAATATTATTTTTACAGAGACATACACACAAGATACTATTTTTGTTGAAAACACAAAATAATATATAAAATATCATAAATCGGCATCAGGTACTTCAGTATGGTTAGATAAGAAGTGTATTGCTTATTTTCGCTGTATTCCATGAGGTGAGAGGATCACATTCACTTTCGTCATGTGCTAGATGAGAAGGGTTTTGGCTGTTTATTTCTAGAAAACCTTTTTATCCATTTTAAAATGAATCTATATAATCCATCTGGTGGTCCTGAATGAGCAGGGCTAGGACCAGACGACCTCCAGAGATCCCTTTGGCCAGCTGCAGTCAGTTTGAAACTTGTGATGACGTTTGAAGAGTTTTTGTGTGCAGTTTCATTTCCCCGTACATACAACTTCCATCAATCGTGATTTTGCATTTTAGAGAGTTGACCTCACTTCATGGTTCAAGAAAACCCAGTGTGGTCATAGGAAGAAAGGAGAAACAGCCATATCCAGGGGAAAAAGCCTACTCAAGACCCGTCACATGGCTTTCTCATTTAAAGAAGCTTGGAATAGACTAATCTAGGCTGAAAAGAAGCATGGATAACTGTAATTGTTTAAAAACACAATAACACATACTCACGCACTTGGCAGATGGCATATTGACGTAAAGTCCGTGTTCCATCTTCGCTATTCCATTTTCAATTTTTATTTTTTTTTTTTTTAAAAAAAAGATGCCAGCATTTGCAAGGCTGTTCTTACATATTTATAATGATAAGGAAAGAAAGTCATATTTATTACTGCTGCATGTTTCTGTCATTTTAGGTACTTTACCATATACATTTGAAGAAGGTGATGCACCACTATTGTCTTCTGAGGTTGTGGATGCCACTTTCACTAAGCTTCTCTTCGGCTCCATTTTCTCATGGTCAGACCCTTCCAAGCGCTGACAAACAGATTTTTCTCTTTCATAATTATGTTTTTTTGAGAGTCTATAAACAAGCAAATGTAAGGGGAAAAAACCCTTAAGATCCAGTCATACGGTAAAATAGAAAAATCAACTAAACTATTCCTTGTATCATAGTATGCATTTATGATTAAAGTGCGGCTGTCCTTTGGTACAAATTAAGAAGTTTATCGTTATAAAATACAGTGAGGGTGACATCAAAATTAAAGATGTTCTCCAGACCTCAACATCTCCCATCAGAGTTTAGAGGCAAGAGATCAATTTGTTCAAAATCCACTGTGAAGAAATCAGTGCATAAAATTACCCCAAGGATAAAAACAACCCGACTGTGGCTTTAACCCTACCCACAAAATTTGGGAATGGAGGTTTGCACGTAAGAAGGCATTCTTGTCTCTTCAACATGGAAAAACTACTTTCCTTTCTCACCACCTGTACAAAAAGGAAAAGGAAACCAAAAGACAACCCATGCCAGAGGTCAGGGGATTACAGGCTTCTAGAGCTTTCTGCTCTGTGTAGCTGTTGAGAAGGACAGCGCTAGGAGATTCAAAAAGGGAAGAAACAATGAACCTGCTCTCTATGAGCTTGACTCGTATACAGCAGAGCTGCAGCCCCAAACATCCAGAATCCAGTATTTATCGATGCTATCATTAAATCTGAAGTATACTCATCTTCATATACTTTTACATAGACAGGTGAAAGTAATACAGTATATAAGAATAGTTCTTGTAACTTCCCCATTTTGCTAGAATAAAAAAAATACAGTGCAACTAACCTCTATTTCTTTTATAATGATTTGCTTGCACTTCTCCGGATGTTCATGGACATAAACAAGCTAGGTCTCTATTACAATCAGTCAAAATTATAATGGTTATGCCAGCGTGTTAATCCAGGCTTCACAGAACTCACAGGGAAGCAGTCACATAAGTTGATCCATTGCTGTTCCATATTTTAATTACCAGAGAACAAAAACTTATCATAAAGAAAGAAATATGAGTTTACGTACACTTTACTAGAACACACACCACCTTCTTCATTTATTTCTGCTTCATGCTTAGTTTCTGTTCTTGCTCTATAAACTGCTGTGTGAAGAATGGAGTACTTCTCTACTGGAGATGGCTGGGAACAAAGAACATCAATGTATAACTACTGAGTAAGTGGTCATATGTTATGCTCCCCAAAACACCAAAGAATAAATTTACCTAAAAACTACGCAAAATGTTTTCAAAAGTTAAAGGATACCCTAACTCAGCTTTCATTAAAGAATATTTCTTACTTAAAATATACATTTTATGTGCATTTTAAGTTACTTTTAAAAAAGAATCCTGATAAATAGCTTAAAAATAACAACGTGCAAAGCACTAAAATTAATATCTAGTATTTTACAGAGTATAGTGACACATTAATACTTCTTTTTCCATCAAACTTAGCCTGAAATAGTTACAACATTCAGAAAAAGAAAAAACAGATTCTAAATTTAGAACAAGGAACCATAGTTTTGCAGGAAACTTGTGCCAAACACTCAGTGAACAGATTGCCATTAATCACAGAAATTAGATTAATTTATTGGCATTACAGACGGAGTAGTAGGTTAACATATATAAAACATGGAGGACTGACTTCTGTTTGCATATTGACTTCACCCTTGTGCAACAGAACTTTGCTACATTAAAGGAATGACTTGAATAAACACTTTGGACTGTATAAAAAAAATCTAGGATAAAATGAGTCATCATGCAATGCCTCTGCTTCAGATTTGACAGCTACAGTTTACTGCTGTGAGAAGGTATTTTAATGATGACTTATGTAGTAGCATATTTGGTAGGAGTAATTCAGTAAGGTGAAGCTATCTGCTAAGTCTGCTTTGAAGAGACAAAGGGTAGCAAGTTGTGAACAAATTCTAAAGATTTTACTTTTTTCTATCTTACAAAACACCTCAGTATGCCCTCATCACAAAACAAAATTGGTACTGTGAACAGTAATTCAATATTAATGTTGTTGCAAACTTGCCCATTCTCACCGGTTCACTTTTGTCCTTCCTCCTGATGCCAGCCGGCCCACACATGATACATCTGCCTTTTGCCATAAGCAGCACCTCTGACCTCTCTGCTTCAAAACGGAGATGAGACACTAATTGTTCTTTCAGCATTGTGTTTTGCCCATCCATCTGTGGTTGGTATCCTTTGTCCTAACAGTAAGAAAACATCAATTACACGAAATCTGCAATAATGACCGTTTCTGCACTGTGCCCTTGAAGTGAACTTCACACTTGAGAAGACCTGCAGACACCAACAGAAATCAAGTAGTGTGGGAACTGTTGTGGATGTTAACATAGGGAAACATAGGATTTGTTAGTCTCAACCCATGTTATAGATAGATACCTTAGAGCCCATGCACATCAAAATATAAGCATAAGTGCTAATAACATAGTGTGTTGGGAAGCAGAATAAAGATGAGGCTGTACATCCAACCCCACCTTTAATATTCATACACGTAAAACCGTTATTGTATCTTAATGGACAGTGGATCACGAGCACATTTTAGCACAGTAAAGACTGAGGTGAAACAGGCTACCCATACTGGCTCAGGTGTACCAACAGGAGCTCAAAGAAAGCACACGGTCATTGGGAATCCTAGCCCTGCTCACCATCTCCTTGGCTGTGATGTCTGACCAAGGGCACTGTGTGGGATGGGCAGGGTCTGCAGAGCTGCGAGGGGTGATGGCAGCCCTCACCCCTCTGCTGTTCCTTCTCCAGTTATTGGAGAGCCGTTGGAGCCCAGGTGGCCAACGGCTGTACCTGTGGGTCCTGCCTGGCCACGGGTTGGCTGCCCATTGGCTTGTCCAACCCCAGTATCAACATCTGAGCTGTCAGCTGAGTTAAGTTACCAGTTGTAAACCCATGTGTTTACATAGATGTAAACTTATGTATTTACATAGATATGAGAGAGCACATGACTAGTTGGGGTTCTTTTGTAATAAGCTTTTCAATGAATTCCTTGAACTTTCCAGCCATGGTTAGTGGCTCTTGCTGTTTAATTACTCTTGCCAGAAAGAGGGAGTCAGCAGGCATGTCACAGTCCTGCTGTGATTGCACCTCTACTTCTGGATGCTTATTCTTTAGTAGCCTATAAAAAGCTACAAAATTTTATTTTAAGTCTGTAACATATTCAATGAAAAAAAAAAAAAAAATAGTTTGACAAAACAGATTTTCCATTATTTTCCTCATGCATTTGAGAAGTTTCCACCAGCTCTTGGATTTTCCAATAGTAAACAACTTAGTTAACTTCTTTCAATAGTTTTAAGATGACATGAGTAATGTAAATACTTGGATGAAGTAATCAGATGTCAGCACACCCCCACCAAGCTGGATTTTTTTAAAGATAAAACTGCTTAGTACTTCCGTATCTTGAGCTCAGTCCACATTTAAGTTTTCTCGAGCTCCTAATGCACACGGATCTTATTCTTTCACTTGTGTTTCATTAATAGTAACAGCATAACAGAATTAAAATAACAAAGTATATTTCAAGAAATGGAAATAGATTTTATCTGGACTGCCAGACACAGCTGGAGATCTACAGAGGACAAGCAGTTTTCTCAGAACAAGCTCAACCATACATGATTTGACTATACAAGGCTTTCCTTAAATCATAACTAACCCTTTATTTGTCAATCTGAAACCATTATACCCAAACAAAATAAGATCTTGTTAATCATGTTAATACGTTAAATTCTGACTTGGTGAGAGATTAATAAATGTCACAACAAAGAAATGGAATCTCAAAAAATAAAATCCATGCACTTATGCACAGGAGATTGACATGCAGAGCTCCTACTGAAACTACCTGTTGTTATAAAAACAAGAAAAATTGGAATGCCGACATAAATTTGCCAGACGTAAAAATATGTGACCTAATCAATCAATACCTGTAGATTTTTCTGTCTGTTTATAAATGCTAGGCTTTATGAAAGATTCAGAAAGGAATGACGCCTGAGAATGGAGACTTTCAATGCTATCTCATTATTCTAGGACAGTTTCAGTTGAAAAATGGTCACTTTTAATCAAAGAATAAAATTCCGTTTTCTAAACGCTACTGCTAATCTGGATGCAATTAATTTAAGTAGCAGTTGCCATTACTTTAGCTGGCAGAAATAATTCCACAAATCTGGTTAATTATTGAAACCAGAAGCACTCTATGTGGCTTTTACATCAAATGCAAATGTTTTAATTTTTTTTGTAACACACAATTGTATTTACACATTTTTTTGTAGGTTTACAAACGGCAATGTCTCTTCACATGAGACTTTTTTGTCCTCTTTGTGCTGAGATAAATAGCATTACTGCAACAGTGATTGAAGGGTAACATGCTCCAAACCAAATAAAGTGAATGAAATTAAAATTAACACCTGCTGACAAAGTTACAGTTTGCTAAAGCAAGCACTCTGCTTTGTTAAGAGATATTAAGAAATGCTTTAAAACAATTTTCACCAGAAAACATTAGAAAACAAATCTAAAGGCAAATGGGAAATGTTGGAAAGGTTAAGGAAGTTCTAAGAGGAGGCATGTTTTTCTTCTCTGATTATAAACCTATTTAAACATAAATCTCACATCTTTAAATAGACCATTCCCTGGGTATAACTGAAAATAACAAGAGCACGTTAATCAGCAAAGCAGCCTTGATCCACCTGAATCCTACAGATTTTTTTTAATTATATGGAATTCTGTCATGATTATCAGACTCATAGAATCACTAAGGTTGCAAAGGATCAACTGCCAGCCCATCCCCACCAATACTGCCTACTGACCATGTCCCTCAGTGCCACATCTACAGTTCTTGAACACCTCCAGGGTCGGCGCCTCCACCACCCCCACGAGCAGACTGTGCCAGTGCCTCACTGCTCTTTCTGAGAAGAAATTCTTCCCAATGTGAAACCTCAGGAGTCTTTGTAGCAGACATAGATCCCACTGCACTGAAAGCCCCAGGAACAACATGAATAAATGGTGTTTTTTTATGAGTCCATAGCTATTTACAGTTCTATACATACATATGCACATACATATACTTACATACACACACACTCCTATAGCAGTTATATATATAGGAGCATATAAAAAGAAGCATATATAGAAACTGCTATAGGAGCATGGATACAGAATTTTTTTTACTCTCTGATATAAAATCAAGAAGCCAAAATCAAATGCAATGTACTGGCAAAAAACCAATACTTTTTGTGAAAAAAGAGCCTTTAATACTTTCAGACGTGTAGGCAGTCTCAGGATGGATTAAGACAGAGGGCTTTCCAGTAGTTGCAGCAAACTGGATTCTCAGGACTCTCCTGAAAAGTTTCCCTGCGGGCTGAGAGGACTTTGCTCCATATACTAAAAAGTCCAAATTCTTATTATTTAAGAGAAAAATGCAGTGAGTATATTATGTGAATAACTACAGGATAATAGGTTACAAACTGAACTGTAAATTGATGGAGGTAGAGAAAGGAATAAGAGGGAAAAGTGAAATCATCACTGAAGAACACAGATGTGGCAGACACATGAAATAAATAAAGCACCTTAAATAAATTGGCAGAACATCCCAAATTCATTTTATAAGGTGAAAAATGAAAGCATACCATGCACTTTGGGACCAACTGACACACTCAGCCCAAAGCTTGGTTTAGAACAAAGCACTGGCATTGTATTCATGTCCCTGTCAGCTGTGGCTATTTCTTCACAGGGAATCATGTGGTGAACAATCTGAGGGCTTCTTGAACTCCAGCATGACCTTCCAAGAGGAATTCTGAGAACCCCTAAAGACCAGTACAAGGTTTGAACAACCTCTTCATCCCAAAGGGGAATCTAAGCTTTTTATTCTGGAATTCTCACTTGGTAAATACCAGCATCAGTACATCACCATGATACCAAATCAATATTAATACTGGGACCATCTACAATAGTCAGATCTCAGATGGAGGAGACGCATCTATTTCAAAAGAACGAAAAATAAAATTAAGGAATGGGATGGTGCCCTTAAACAGGATGATGTTAAAAGCATAAGAGTGTGTTGCATTGACATGGAAAGTTTTGAAGAAATCCATAACTTCTCTGCGTGAGAACTGAAAAGTCTGCAAACCAGACTGTTCCCTGATAAAAAATTCATCATTGTCCTTATGAAACATCAGGAGTACTATTCTGTACTCTTTTCCATATGAATTAAATACATCTATTATTCCATTATTAATGTTTTAGTCACATATCATTATTTCAGTATGAATTTGATTTATGGTTTCTTTCTTATTGTGAAGGTGTCAGCAATATGGGTAAAGCCCATGGGAATTGGCATAGAGGCCATTACTCCTGTTGCTCAGCCCTTTCCATTCTCTAAGCAAAATTCAGGCTCTGTTGAAGTCAATGCCAAAATAACAATGGTAATAGAAAGCCCAGGGCAGAACCGTGCCTCCCTCTCTTCTCTGAATTCTTTTTTTGCCCAAAGCTTTTCCACACACAAGTTTCTCCCTTGTAGACAAAGACCTTGCATATGCACTTTCTCTATCACCTTTGAGGTGCTACATCTGAAATCAGAAATACGATCCTAAAAGGCTGGGAATTCTGGGCTTGTTGAATGTTCTTGAATTCAGAACACTTGTGTTCTTTCAGGTATTCAGATGCTATGCAGCAGCAGTTACTCCCCTAGACAGCTCAGACTTGTTAAGCTTAACAAAAACGAGCCAAAATGTAAGTTGGTGTGGAACACTCAGCTGTTTGCTCACTGCATGAATGAGTCTGAAAGGAACAGGCTGCTACAGTACAAACAACAAATACAACTACCAGCAACTTCCCAGAGAACAGCACATAACCATGCAGCCTGAGCTCAGAAACTTTGGCTAAACAGTGAAAGGAAACCAAATGAGAAACAACTTTACGCCTTACTTTAATGTCATGCAGTGTGGAATTTCTAAGTAGGTAAACATTTAATAACAGATACCAAATGATCAGACTTCAGTTCTGACTGCAGCAGGCTCCTGCAGTGCTTATAATTACCATTATTCTGTGCCACAGGACAGCTCTGACTGCACACTGAAGTCAGGAGCTCAGCTTCATGGCCACAGTCGCCATCATGGCACTCTGGGTAACTGCAGGCTCCCCAGACTCCATACTCAGAAGTGAGCTCTCTTGCAACTCAGAAATATACATAAGACGACAGAACATTTTTTTGTTGTTGTTTTAAATCCCCCTTCCTACTCACCTGTTCTCTCATTAAGTGGTCATTACCTTTGCCCCATCAATTAACTTTTCTTGACTATCTTTCTGCTTCCCTTGACATCTTGATTCTTTCCTCCTAATTGCAGAGCATAGAACTTACGTTTATTTATACCTTAATCATCATGTCTCCTTCTAATTCAGACACTCACTGGACAAAGACAAAGCACGATCTCCCAAGTTACCCAGCACCAAGATGGCGTCCATGTTGCTACAGAGCTGTGGCCAGCAGGCCTGCCAGGCCCTGCTGGGTAACTTGGGAAATCGTGCTTGTCTTTGCTGTTCATCATATTGGTGTGTACGTGCAGTTATTTGGTCCTGACCTGGTTAGGGTTAGTAGCGTAGGAGGCAATGCAACAGCTCAGATATTACAGTACTACACAAGGCAAAGCATCTAATTAGCCCCTTTTTATACAACAGTAACTCACTCTCTCATACTCACAGGAACTGCACAGCTGCGTTTCAACATGCAGTTAATATAGATCATAAGCTAAAACTACAATTCCTATGTAGCATTTCCTAATTATTGTTATCATTAATATAGTTAAAATTATAATAACTTAAAAAACTCAAATCCTTAAGTTTTGTCAAAAGTTTCCTTTGATTTCATTTGTAAGTGTAAGAAAATAGCTGGGTTCATGGAGCACTTGAAATCTTTTCATACCCTTCTCCCTCCTGGAAGCTGTCATTCAGTCTGGGATAAGAAGCACAACATATGCATTAGCATTCAGCGCGCATTGCAACAGTGACCGACCGTCTCAAGCAATTTTAGTAGAGACTGGAGGTGGATTAAACTCCATGGGAACACAGAACTTAATCTGGGGCGATTACAGATGAATTCAAATCAGAGGCAAATAAATAAATAAATAAATAAATAGCATCCTGTTTCACCACACAGATCTACATGAAAAATAGCATAACCATCACAACAAGCAATTAATCGTGCAATGAGTCAATGACATCATTCTCGTAGTCTCCTAGAGAAAGCTGTTGGGCATGGTTAGGGGACAGCTGACAGTGATTGCTTGCTGGACAGCCATTAACTTTGTTTAGGCCCTCCATTACTCACTGCTTAATATAAGGAATGTCAGATGTCATCACTTGATGGAATGAACAACCCAGATCACAAGTACACAGTGTCCATTCTGTGCAGTAAGAAGCACCACTGAAGATGATGCTTGTTTGCTTCTCCATACAGGACAATATTAATATTCCTCCCACAGAAGTTCTGTCCCTGAAGAAAACCACCTCAGTTCAAGCTTTCTCATGTGTAATCATAGGAAGTTGTATACGTATTTCTTCCTTCATGTTATCCTTCCAACTTAAAAATGATTGCTGTTTCAGATCTAAGTTATATGTATTATAAAATGTTATTAGATCAGAGTTGGAGCTAGTACAGTAATCACAACTGCATCAAGACATCAAGACTTCACAAGTTATTTTCTCTAATAATGCTCCTTGCCTTGACAAAGTAAGCTACCTGCTCTCTTTAGAGCAGATTCCCACTCCAGATAGGGAATCAGAAGTTGTAAGTCATATTTTTACAGAATCACAGAATAGCCAGGGTTGGAAGGGACCTCAAGGACCACAAATCTCCAACCCCCCTGCCACATGCAGGGCCACCAACCTTCCCATTTAATACTAGACCAGGATGCTCAGAGCCCCATCCAATCTGGCCTTGAACACCTCTAGGGATGGGGCATCCACAACCTCTCTGGGCAGCCTGTTCCAGCACCTCATCACTTTCATAGTAAAGAACTTTTTAGACTGAATATAAGGAAGCAGTTTTTTCTAATAAGTCACTGAAACAGATTGCTCAGAGAGGTGGTGGATGCCCAGTCCTTGGGAACATCCAAGGTCAGGCTGGAGGGGCTCTAAGCACCCTGTGAGTCTGCTGTAGGTGTTCTCGTTCAGTGCAGGGGAGTTGGACTAGATGGCCTTTAGAGATCCCTTCCAACTCAAGTGACTCTACGACTCTTTGAGGTCCTTTTCAACCTGGGCCATTCTATGATGGCAGATGAATAAAGCATGTAAGTAGGTGACCATATCATAGATACAGAGAGTTTTTGCTCTGATCAGCTGAAGGCATTTTTAATGTAAGCATACAATAATAACTGAACACCATTACGCCTTGCATAATCAAAGAATATTAGGCTGTTATAATCACAAAATAAACAAGAGAGTTAGGCAAAGCAGACTATGATAACAAAAGAGAATAAATGGAAGGCTTACCCCTATCCTGGGCTCACTCTCAAAACACCAGCAGAGGCAATCTCCAGGAGAGATCCTTCCCCACTGGTAGCCAGCTCTTAAATAGGTCTAGGAGCACAGGAGAATTGCCTTCACCTGTGCTCCTCTGGCTGACTCATTGCTCGCCTCAGGTGATCAATCAGAGGTTCAGGCCGTAGCTCAGCAGTTCCCATACACACCTCCACCACTTATCATTCACCCGTTCCTCTCTACATCTAAACATCCCTAAGTACAGAGCTCCATGGATGCCGTATCTCTTGTCGTTAATTTTGTTGTTTCCTCATGAGGTCTAAAACAAGCTGTCAGGCTTTTAGTAGCTGTGGATATTCAGAGAGAAACACAAATTAGTACACCAACTACCCAAGGATGAGGAATTTTCTCCCATTCATGCCGAATGATCAGCCCCTCCATGCTACATTTCACTGCAGAGCTATTTTACAGACTGCATTAATTATCACCTCCTTCATCTCCTTCACTTACTGAATTTGAATAAATCCATTTCAAATAGACTTAAATAACAAATATAATAATATAAATAGTATATGTTACATATATGTTCTCGTGTCATTAGTGATAGGACCAGAGGGAATGGCTTCAAGCTACGGCAGGGGAGATTCAGGCTGGACATGAGGAAGTATTACTTTTCAGAAAGGGTGGTCAGGCACTGGAATGGACTGCCCAGGGAGGTGGTGGAGTCACCGAGCCTGGGGGTGTTCAAGGAAAGGCTGGATGTTGTGTTGAAGGACATGGTTTAGTAGGAGCTATTGGGAATAGTTGAACGGTTGGACTGGGTGATCTTTTAGGTCTTTTCCAACCTTGGTGATTCTATGATTCTGTGATATAACATATATAACTTAATATAATACAATACCATAATACATATCACAAAATCACAGAATCATAGCAGTTGGAAGGGACCACTTGGGATCAAGTCCAATCCAAAGCTAAAGCAGGATTATAAGTAATAAATAAGTGAATTCAAAATAAAACTTCAAAAGTGTTAAAACAAAATTCTGGTAACTGTCAGTCAGCTAATATATTCCTGGAAGCTCACAAAGACTCAGACCTGAAATGCTATGTGCCATAATCCACAGATCTAAGAACTACTTGAGCTGCTAACAAAATGCATTAGATTTCTTACACACAGGAGCTTGGCTGATGAACTTGTTGGGCTATTATGCAAATAAGGACATACAATTTATGAAACCAACACAATTCAATGATATCATTTAAAGACTTCTGCTGAGGAAGCACCCTTTGTAAGATGACATGCAAGATGTTAACCATTCAAAATCCCCCAATTTCAAGTCAGCTAGCATTTGTGAGCTGTGATATCAATACTGTTCTTTCCTCTCTGGCGCTGCATCTGGAAGTTTCCTCATTCATTACAAAACAGCAATTTTCAACATTTATCCAATTTTAGAGAGAGGGAAAAGTCAATGTTCTTGAAAAGAAAGCAATGCCTCATTGAAAATAAGTCAGTAGGATAATTGGAAATAAACGTAGGCTTCCCTGTCACGTATTTAAAATATTAAACTATGCTAGCTCTCTTTAATAGAAGAAGATTTCTTGTGCAAACCAGATACATCATACACACAATATTCAGATTTCTTTGCTAGTGATAGATAAACCTTACGGTGCAATGCTCCCTCCTTCCAGTGACTCATCAGACAGCCATCCCTCTTGGCTGGACAAATCAGGATGAGTAAAGCTTCTGTTTGGGGGCCTACATGCCACATAGCTGCATTTGTTCCACAAAGTCCACAGACCGTGCATTCCAAGGGGTGGTGCACAGCTTTATTTTGGTTTAAAAAGTAGCTGATTTGGATTCCAAATCCAAATAAGGAATTGGTTCAACTGGATATCTCAGTCCAATCTATCCAGTTGGATGTCTGCCCAAATGGCTACTGCAGTTGGAGCGCTCAGTAAAAACTTGTGCCTCCTGGCAGAAGTCATTTAAACACAAAAATGTAAATATGCAAGATTGCATGTGGAGCACAATGATGAATAGCAAGCAAAATGCAAAAAATGCTGTTTGAATCAACCAAATTAAAAATGTATGCCATTATGCTACCACAAAAGGAGACAGAGGCTCAGATGAGGCATATAAAAATAGGTGCAAAAGCGCTCAGAATCCTAGTATAGATCACTTTAAAAAGATGACAAAATGGTTCATAACAGAAATTGATCATGAACACTGTGAAGGTGACACATCAAAATTTTTCTGCTTTACCAATCTCAGAGAATGGAGACTTTTAATGAACCTACAAATACATTCTAAAGTAACAAATTATATATTTTCCAAACAATATCTAACAAAATTCTGGATCCCGTAGGCAAATAATAAATAAATAAATAAATATAAAAATTCCGTTGGAATAAAAGATTGGATATTTTAATCATTTAAAAAAAAAAAAAAAAAAAAGTTGTGACTAATGGACTAATGCTTCAGGGATATTAACTTCAACCAGCAGAGGCTTATACTAATCTCCTTCTGTGTGCGTCCAGGATGAGACTTGACATACTGGACAGATCATAACACATCCATCAGCACTCTGCTAGATGTTCCTCTATGGCTCTGGCCACTGTTGGAATTAGGTTACTGAGCCAGGTGTGTACAGCTGGGCCTGAACACCCACTGCTAAGAGCATCCCAGGCACTTGATGGGACTCGGGGTTACCAAAGATCCTGGTTACATGGGCACAACAGCTCCTCAGGGACCTCCAGCACTGTTTGCTGAAAAGGAATTTCAAATAAACTTGGAAGAAGTCGCTACAGCCCAGAAATACTGCTTCCTCTTCCCACTTAGTGTAATCCTGTAAGAAACACCGCTTAGACCTGCTGCGATATACAGCATCTGTAAAGATACATAGTGCAGATTTAGTCCTATTTGAGAACAAAAAGGATTTATATCAAATTAGCTGATTTGCATTTGTACCTAGGTAAAACCAAATGAAGATGTTTTTATTACCAAATAAATGCACACAGGCAGATAAACAATGTAGGTACAGCCAGTGCCACCGCTTCAGCCTGAGCTTGCATTGAGCATGCTCTCAATGCAACACTGCAAGGTCAATAAAATGGGATGTCAGTTGTGTGATGAAGGGGAGGATAAAAGGTTAAAAGGTTGTAGCAAGGAGTGTTTAGAAGGGTGCAGCATGCTAGAATGAGTTGCTTTTCTGTTTCCTTTATTCTCTAAGTGTTATTGCTTTTTGGCAGCATTGAGTTACAGTCTTTTGGAGGGAAAAGCCTTGAAGTCTGTCAGCTAGCCCTAAAGCTCAGCAATGTGCCAGGTCAGGCACTGATCTTAGCAACAGTGGAACAAATGCATTTTGACTAATTCTACTGAATTCAGTTGCTTCCTCCCATGAGGAAAAGAAATATTATTTACATTATAATACCATCTAGCCCTGTAGTTCCCAAATCCAGCTCTGCAATGCTAGGCATTACTTAGAGAAAAGAGCAATTCCATCTCATAGGAGTTCACAATGTAAATTGATAAGCCAGACAATCTGAGGGAGAAAAGGAGCACTATCTTCTCCACTTAGGGATGGTGAGCTGAGAGCCAAAGTGCCTGCCCAAAGTGGCAAAGGAACAGGACAGAATTAAACTCTCATTTTCTCAGATCTGATACCTGAGACATAACAATTTCTTTAAAAAAATTAAAAAAAAAACCCAACACCTGGTTTTGTCTTATTTTTATTTCCAAGTAACATTGTAAAATACCTGAGCAACACATCAATTATTTTCTGCATTAACTTCCTTTCTGGGTGCTTCCAAGGCAAGTTGCTCCTGAAACAGCATACTTTGCTTCATAAGGCTTTAGCATACAGAGCATCAATCACAGAATGGTTACGGCTAGAAGGGACCCTAAAGCCCACCCAGCCCCAACCTCCTGCTGTGGGCAGGGTGTCCCCTATCAGCTCAGGATGCCCAGGGCCCCATCCTACCTGGCTTTGAGTGCTGATGGAGCACCACAGCTTCTCCAGGCAAACAGCCTGTGACAATTATGTGCCAAAAGTCATTTTAACAGTTTTATTCTCAGGGTAGAGAAATTCATAAGTTGAAACACAGTTTCTGGTTCAGTGGGTGGTTTGTTTTTGTGGTCGTTTAAGAACAGGATATGAATCCTCGAATGAACAGAACAATGGCCCATTTGGTTCCAGCTGTCTCTAATTGCAGGCCCTTGTAGTAATTTCAAAGCAAAGCAAGAAATGTTTCATAACTGATAAGCTGGACAAAGTGTATGTAGCCTGCTGAACTGAATTCACTGATAGTAAAATGTCTCCCGAGATACATGAATTTGTATCTCTTCTGCAGCTTCACTCTTTCAACAAGAACTTCCACTGATTAGAAAAACTGGTTCAGATTTCTTTTCATGTCTTATATCTTTGCCTCTCACTTTTCTTTTAGTGCTCTCATTGTTTTTACACTATGAGAAAAGACAGGTAAGAATCCTCCTCCTCCAGATATTTTATGAATTACAGCTTTGTAATTCATTTATGTACCTCTCCCTAGCCAGACATCCACTCAGCAAAGAAACAGCAGGAAAGCTGAAAGTCAGACCTAAGGAGAAATCCATTCCAAAGAGATGGATTTAGTACATTTGAAACTCTACTAAAACACACCCTACAAAAGGACAGTTGGCAGGAAGGTTTCCAAACCCAATGTAGAGACACTGCTTATTAGGCACAGAAAACAAATTCTCCTTACAGACAAAACAAAACAAAGAAACAACAAACCACCTCAAAACAAACAGGTCAGGGAGAACTGCTTTTGCCTTAAGGTATGACCAGTGTGTGCTTGTAAAGACAAGGTAGGTCAACATCATTAGCTGCAAATGGCTAAGAGTTCTGGACTGTCATGTTCTTACTTTAAGAAAGAGCAAGTGATTCAAAGTGACAAAGGGAATGTCATCTGCTCTGCAGTAAGTGTCCCTACATGACAAGATTTCTTGGTGGCTGTGAAGACATAACCAAGCTCAAATTTGCCTATATTGCAGAACTACTGTCAAC